AGAGCCGTTCAAAACAAAAGATCTCAGGCTATAGTGATCATAACCCTATGACGTCCCCGTTTCGTAGTAGCACTGAAAGCGCAGGGATTAGAGCGTCTGGGTAGTAGCAGTCACTTTAGTCAGCTTTGTTCCTTCATGCCTGCATTTGCATTATATCAAACTTGAGAAACGAAATGATGTTGAAGAAGTCTTTCCATGCAAAGGTGCCGGGTTCAGTTGTTTAGTTGAAATACCCAACATGGTAGCATTGCATGCAGACCTCGATATCGAAGAAGAGGTTTCTGGAGATTCCGCAATCTTCAACGAATTGAAATGCCGAGCTTGCGAAACATAATTAGCAGCGTAGAAGAGCCCAACAAACTTGAAATCTCACTGTCGGAGACGGAAGCACACCCTGACTGCCAAATCGCACATGCTGACGGAACGAACAGCTGCTGATATCGTCGAGCATCAGAAGGACGGCCGCGAGCTGAAAAGGCACCGGGTTCTTCGCCACATAGTCTGGGAGGTTCATGTCACAGCAATCATCCTCCTCCTCCAGTCGGAAGCACCACCCAACACTACTAATAAGGTGTAAATCTGAACATGAAAACGTATCAACCCCACGACGCCCCCCAAAGCTCTGAGCCGTAACATTGTGGAGGCATATCTTGCCAGCCCATCCCTGCCTTTGTTCTGGTGCCAGGGGTTAAGACTGGTTAAGATAGTAAGCTGATGATTTAGTGACCCCTCCTAAACTTCAATTACCCTGACACCCACAACCCTGAAAGCCAAAATCACATCCTAGTCGTAAAGCCCAAAGCTCCAGTGCCTAAAATAGGAGCTGTCCAAGGCGAGAGTCCTGAATAATGAAGGAGCTTACCTTAAATCAGATGCAGGATGCCTCTATAGTTGAAGGTCCATTGCATATTGAGGCCTTTTGGAAAGGTAACAGCCTGAAGCCACAAAGCTCTAATACCTGGGAAGCTGAAATAGAGCGCTGGAATCATGCATGCTTATATCTCAAATCCTAAACCTGAACCCCAGGGCCAAATAGTTTTCTCAAATCTCAGCCCTAAAACCCGAATCTTTAACTGTTCTGCAGAGAAAGGGTCCCGCCCCCGGCTTTAACCTGTGCCGCTTAACGAGAATAGACAAGACATGGAGCCGTGCGCACATCCTGACTCAGGGTGTTTTCACCCGACTTACAACTGCATCTGGTTTAGGATTCAGGTTCAGGGTATAAGCGTAGCTCGACAGGTCCTTCTCTGCCCGGACATCCTAACCCCCCCGAAATCCTGACTCCAAATAGTTACTAAGTCCAAAGCAGCCCAACCCAAATCCACCAAACTCCCATGCCGAAGCCCATAACTCCCCCCCGCCCCACCGCGCGAACCCCGCGGTGCAGTCCCCCACATCACTCTGGTCGGTATATTCCGATGGCGCCCCCAGCCTCCCAGCGCAGGCACACTTGAGCTCCGGCGTCTACTTACTAAGATGCCGTTAAGAGTTTAAGTTTCGGCTCATAACCTTAAGCACTCGAAGTTTGGTTATGGCATGTTTTTGGATATGGAGACTGCTGGGTGGTGTGCATCAGCAGTGTTGAACATATTCTCAATAGCCTACCCTGTGGTGTGCAAGGTTCCCTCGTCAACGCTCGGGAAGTTTGAGGTTCGCAGGGGCGGTTTAGGGTCCAAACTGGTTTGGGGATGAAAAGGGCCCCGGGCTCAAACAGACTGTGACTAGGATTTACACAACCCAATCATCCAACAATCTAAGTATCCCCAAGAAAAGGCATGGTTGGCTCGTACAAATTGGCACAAGCTTTGGAAAAGGAGGCACAAAAAGTAGACAAAATTCTGAAGTGAGAGCTACATCTGTGAATAGGCAGGCACCGCTGAAGTTCAGCTATCTTCTGCAGGGATCAAACCTGGCACACCACAAAACCGAATCGACTAACAACTTGTGGAAGGTCCAGTGGGAAGCCCTACACTAAAACATCTAAGCCCAGTATAAACTGGATCCCCTAAAGCCTGAACTGTACACCCTGCACCTTCGACCCTAACCCCATAAACCCGAGACCCTCAAGCCTACGCTCTGAACCCAAGCCTATACACCTTAAACGCTGAATCCTCACCCTAAGACCAGGCCCTAAACCCTGCCTTTCCAGCTGCCGATCTCCCGCGTACCAGTTGGTCAAGTTGTTCCAAGCTTCGTTCATGGCGCTGCCAGGTGGAACTTTAGGGTTCAGAACATGTGGGTCGGTGCCTTATCAAGCAGATTCTGGAAAAATAAAAGCCTACGATTCGGGTCGATGCATACTAATTGAGGTCCCGCACTTTCTGAAACTCCCATGTGGAACAGCCCCAATAACACTCAGAATGGGGAGTGCACTAACAGCAGCTCCAGAAAGCCATGCACGATGGTCGGTGCAGCGGGCTGCAGCAGGTCTTATAAGGAACCATGTTTAAAGCCAGAGATTACATAAGGCAAATTTAAGGATCACGAACCTTCGTAGAGCGGATTGAAGAGGAGGGCGTCTCGGCTTAATTGTTTTGTTGCGTGAAGGTTCTACAGACTACTGACCTCGCCAGCCTCTATGAACGCTTCTAAGGAAGCTTGTTCTGCTGTCACGCCTGAAAGCCGATTTTAGGATTCAATTGCATCCTTCTGCGCCCATGTGTGGGGCTGTCTATCAGGACTCCCCTTGAGCAGACGGCATGCATGCAAGCGGTGAGGTTTAGGGTGTTCTGGGTTTAGTTTTATGGCGTAGCCAGCGTTTAGTAAACTTGAACCAGATAAATTGAACTAGGAACCCTGGGGAAAATTGTCTCTTAATTTTCAGGCTCCTATATTACAGCTGGTGGTAGCCCCTTTCCGCAAACTTTTCCCTGACTGCATATGTTGGTTAAAGCCAGTAGCTAGACAGAAACGGTTGTATCACTGTCATAATATAAGTCGGGCTTCCCCACCCTTTCACACTGTTAAGAGGGTTGAGGGCTGTAGTCTGCGGAACGGCGTAGATCAAATGTCACCAGGGCCCACACAATAATTGCTCCAATAAGGTCCTAGGTAATTCTGTGGCAGGATTATGTATATCCTGAGTCCAGTTCACAGCCCGGAAAAGAATAGGGTTCTAGTATAAACTCAACAGGCTCAAACTCTACAAATTCCCCTGCTGAGTCGAATGCATGTGGCATAGGCTATGAACTATGGGGTTCAAGATTCCGGGCTGTTTCGGGCTTCAGGCTTTCGGGGTTTAGAACTTTAGCGCCGCAAAGCTTTAATTCCTAGATAGCTCCAAGATGCCTCGACAAGTATATCCAAGGTGGGACTTATAGAGCTTCGTGAGGGATTGAGGATCTTGCTTGTTCGTGTTGGGTGAGGGTCCTGGTCTGCAGGGTTTCTGCTAAATCCGAAGCCCGGGAAGTTCGAGTCACTAAGAGGGTGCATTTTCTACCGCCTGCAATGGAATTCGGCCCCACGAGACCATTCCTGTTATGGTTTTGGGGACCTAATTCCTTACTGAAAGTATACATGAGCCCTTGGCCCTCTGGGGTACAAACTAGTGATGGCTGTACTTGGCCCTCAAGTCTGGTTTTCTAGGATGTAATTGGGTTCTACGACCACTTATAATTGGGTCCTGGGTGAGATGTAACCCGAACCCACAAGTATACCCGTAGACCTTCAACAAAAGCTTTCAAAGCAAACATGCCGCCTTTTGATGCACCTCGCCGTGTCTGTAGCGCGATATCCAGCCGTTCCATATTCGGATATTCTCAGGGAATACAAAAGCCCTTGCAGGGATCCAAGATGTAATCTCGGGCATAATCCTTTGTTAAGTGCTGTCTGCTTTTTCTTCGTTGGATGGATGGTTTAGGGCTTTGCCTGGGTTCAGGTATGCGCATCCTGCTTACTCACGGGTCTTTCGTCTTTGGACGATACCTACTTTGAGACTCTGTTCCAGTAAAGGCTGTCCCTGCGACCGGTCTTCATTGGCGCATGATGCAGCCTCCAGTCCTCGTTCACTGGGCTGGGGGCTGGGGGGGGGGTTAGAGTTAGACAGGGTCGGGTGTGGGATGACTTGTTTACTGGGCTGCTCTTGTGTGCAAGACTGCTGCACTCGCCACCATCCCCTCTTAGGGTAAGATCATGGGACACAAAAACGTAGTCAATACTTAAACACCCTGCTCACGGGGCAAAGGGGTTGAACTTGCAGTTCAGGGTAACTATGAAAGACGGAGAGTTGAAAGCTTACAAAGGCAGCAGCTAAGAAGGGGAAATGATGTTCGAAGCCCCCAAGCCCGAAAAACCTACACGGCTCAATCCCACATCCCAAATCCAGATTCCCGAACCCAGCTTCAAATCCTGATCAAAAGCTTCACGAGTGAAGTGGCCCTCGATCACCCATTGCCCGTTCACGTTGCGTTTGTATTTGTTGTGCGCAGTTTTGCGGTGTAGACTATTTGGAGTTCAGGATTTCGGGTTTCTTGGAGAAATCTGGCAAGTGTCCTTTCTCACGCCCCGAAGAATGGGTGGGTCCCCACCTGACTAGATCATCTTTTACGGATGGGATCGACTCTAGCTCGAGAACTACCCATGTCTACGAATACAGGGTGTGCAGGGATCGGGAAATTGGAGGAGGATCAGGATGTCTTCAGCCTTCCATAGTTCAGGGGTTCTAGAAGTCAACAGTGTCATAGATCGAAGGTTAACCCTTCAGAATACGATTGACTTCTAGAAACCCGAAAAGTTCATCAAAGATTGGCTATTCGAGTCCCAGGTACCGAAATGCAGAACCGGACAGAACCCTGACCCCAATGCATTTACAGCGGCGGGGTCCCACAACAGTAACATACAGCAGCCAAACACCGCACGAGTGGTGGGCTCAGATAACCCCAGATGCCTCAATTGAGGATCTCTTAAGACTTAAGACTAAGGCATGCCACCATCACTTAGGCTACGACAGGGTCTTGGCATCCTTCGAGTCAAACAGAACAGAGGCCTTCAGCTCGGTGGGTTTACCTCCTCCACGGCTGCCTGGAAATGAGAGATCTTTGGATTTTTCTGGTTTAGAGTTTACCGCTTACACCCGAGTGCCTTTTCGGGGCAGCTACTATGGGATCCAGGATATGTGCAGCTGCTGGGTTGCGGTTTGTCTTTTCGGTGTAGATGGTGAGGCCGGTAATGCACTCTCTCAGTCACCCACTCTATTTGGCCCCAAGGTACGTAAACACGTGGTTCTCATGGTGACTTGGGGAGGCGGGCAGGGAGGTGTTCTACAGAACCGAGACAGGTGGTCTGAGGAGCAGTGCCAACGGGCAAAGCTGCTGACAGGGACTCTTCAGGTGCCAGGCTCGGCCTGGCTTTATGATGCAGGTGCCTTAATATTGGAGTAGGGTTTTGGGCTCCTTTATGCTACAAGTATGATAAGGAGCCCTAAGGGATAGTGTTGGTCATTGGTTAAGATTCTATAGTAGAGCCCTGATTGAAATCTTTCATTAAGCAGGCCCCTATGTTTGCTCTGCATGAGGGCTCTGCAATCAACCCCAGAGGTGTCGGCAGCCCCTTCAGTTCAAGACTTTACGAACCCTCAACAGCGCAAATCCTATGGCTCAAATTTGCTGTCTTCGTCTCCGGCCAAGTTTAGGCACCCTGAATCTGAACCTTCAAAATCGAAAGGGTGCTTCACATGCCAAGGGTCCGTGTGGTTGTTGTCGTGGTCGTAGTCGTAGTCGTAGTCGTAGTCGTAGTCGTGGTCGTGGTCGTGGTCGTGGTCGTGGTCGTGGTCGTGGTCGTGGTCGTGGTCGTGGTCGTGGTCGTGGTCGTGGTCGTGGTCGTTGTTGTTGTGGTCGTGGTTGTCGTTGTCGTCGTCGTCGTGGTTGTTGTTGTTGTGGTGCTGGTTGTTGTCGTGGACGTCGAGGTTGTTGTGGATGTCGAGGTCGTCGTTGTCTCGGCAATGGAATTAGCTTTAAACACTTGAATGCCTAAACTCCCAAGCCCTACATCCATGGCCTGAAGTTGTCATGTTGGTATCTCTGAACGACCGAATTTTGGAGGCCATCAATTCCAGAAACGTACCTCAACCCAAAACTCTTGTCACACACAAGAATTGTAGCAGTTGAGGTTGATATTTAGGGATAAGGATTTTGGGCTGAGAATTTCTTTTCCAGGAGCGCCACCATACTTGGTGTGTCTGAATATCGCGGCATAAACGAAGCAATCTCCGAAATACTGAAAAGTTCAATGTATAAACTGAGGGGTTCAGGCGGTTAAGGTTCAGAACACGGCATACATACCTAAGCGTCCACAATACCGAACATTCACATACGAGCCGGAAGACAAACCTACAGTACGACTACCCCAAGTACAAGTACCATGTTGTAGTGCTTGGATGCTAGGGTGCCACTAAATGGCCTTACCACGGCTTTACGGTGTCATGCTGATGTCTCCGAACGACTGAAAGTTGGGGCCCCATAGCCCGAAACCCTACGTTCAACCCAAACTCCGATCACACACCCACGGGCTTTTAGGGTACAGGACTGTTGCAGGGCTTTATAGGGTTCCAGTATTCAAGAGTTTATAGGTTTGCGAGTTCGCGCTAAAGATTGGAGACAGGCCTCCAACGAAAGACTCTGCTGTGTAAAGATAAGCTTACACTTCTGACGGGCTAGGGCTACGAACAAGGAATCTCCTGTAGGGGCCTGAATAATGAACACGCCGTAATGCATATGTGTATGTATATCCGTATATATATATATACATATATATATATATATATATATATATATATGGGTGTATGTGTGTGTGTGTGTGTGTGTGTGTGCGTGTGTGTGTGTGTGTTTGCAACTCATATGTATGTATGTATGTATGTATGTATATATACACACATATACTTATACATATATATAAATATATATGTATTTTATAAGCACTGTATACATATACATATGTGTATATATATGTACATAATTAGATACTCTTTTTGTATGTACACACATGGATACACTACAATCTAGCCCCCCCCCCCCCCACCCGCAAACTCTGTTCCAAGCATTAATTCAGGCCCCTGTATGTAACCAAGACCTAAACGAAAAGGCTGATGCAGTTCCTAGGGACCCGCAATTTCAAATCCAGGAATCCACGCGGAACCTTTGATGAGGGTGGTGATGCATTGGCCTGGGTTGCCCGGAAGGTAGGTTGAGGGCCACTCACACACACACACACAAATCTTTATGCTAAAGCGATCCAGCGAAGCGTTCAACCCAGAACCCAGGTCTCCGCTTAGGCGCAGTTCATATCCAAAACTGTGCAACGAGGCTGCAACGCCCAAGGATCCAAAATCATGTAAATGCCGTCAAGGCATCATCGATACGTTCGTGCACGAACGGACAGGCAGGCAACCAATCAATGGAGGTCGGAATGGGATCCGTTCTCTTATATATGCCCACATGATGCTCGATGTGCACATGCCCTTTGGGGAATGCAGTCACACTTCGTCATCCGTCATAGCCTGTCAAGAAGGCAAAGGGAACAACTCAATGTAACTAACTCTTGTGGTGACTCTGCGCTGTTGTCATTTTAGCCGACGGCAAACACAACCTGCGAGTTCGCCCTCCCTACTTTATTCTCACGGAAACGAAACGGGCCACGACGTTGGATGGATGGATCGATGGATGGATGGATGGATGGGTTGATGGCACATACGTACATATACATACATACATACATACATACATGCATAGATCTATTTGTTCAGTCGTGATTTGTGCATACGTACATGCATACATACAGAATTGCATACATACACACATCCAGCATGGTTATCATGACTATCACCATCATCACCATCATCATCGCAGCATCATCATCGCCACCATAATCTTCATGATTAGAATCAACATCCGTTCGCCTGTCGTACGTCTGTCCGTCCGTCCATCCATCCATCCCTCCATGCATGCATTCGTGCAGTTCATCACATTGCGTTGGACCCGGTTACCGTTGCATCTCCATGCATGGCATTGTATTGCATTGCATCGCATGTATTGCGTTGCAGCACATCGCCCCGCACCCCATCGGATCGATCACATCACATTACATAAATACCTGCATACATACATACCTACGAATGTACATGCATACATACCGACACACACAGGAACACGGGCAACATGGACAACCACGCAGACAGATTATGCCGTTTGTATATTACTGAGTGTGTGCAGATGTATGTATCAGTGTATGTATGTATGTATGTATGTATGTACGTGATTATGTATGTGATTATGTATGTATTTATGTAGTTAACATATGTACTAAGTACGAGGCTAGGTAGGAAGGTAGGTAGGTCAAGGCATACTATCTATAAAATCTGCATATGTAAATATTATTTGGAGAAAGACATGCTGCCAGATGGGTGAAACCAACCTGTGCCGTTGGCTTGTACATAGGCATGCATTGTATTTACGTTTATGCCGAGCAAGAAAACAACTCGGAAGATACCGCCCCGTGTTGCTGATGTAATTTACCCTTCAGGAAAACCCAAGAGTGCCCTAGCAGCCACTGCATATATACCATGTGTATGAACCTCTAGCACACAAAAACAAACCTATATCACCCAGGTATACCAAAAGCCTCGGACATGGAGCTCGGTTTGGTCTCGTTGACATGTCCGCAACGACCGGCATGCATGAACAAACGAACAAACAAGACGGACGGAAACCAACACCGACTGCTCTGAGCTATGCGAACTTGAGATGTCCAACACTTTCCCATTCAGTGCTTGTCCTTTTTCGGCTTGCTGTTGTTGATACCTGTCGTGCGCAGACATACCAGTCATTCAAACAAAGATCCTACAGAATAGAAGACCCTGCAAACACGACACTAACCATATCTTGTCTCCCAATCATGGTGTCTCATGCTCGGGTGCCAAAACCAGAACCAAGAAACCTGAAAAGAAGGGCCAGAATTTCTCATAAACAACATGACAACATCGATAACAACCACAACAACATCATCGCGCAATCGCAAACACATATGCACAACAACCAAAAGACTGATAGCAAGAATAATGGACCCAGTAAACCCTGTTCGGCCCTCCCAAAGAGTGCCATCCTCGCACTTCCGGGAGCAAACGCTACTACGAGGTAAGTGTTTAGGATGCAGGGCTTGGATTTCGGGCTCAAGGCGTGCGGCTCAGAGTTTAAGGAGGGCCTCAAGCTCAGGGTACGAGGAGGGTTGAAGGCTGTTCGGTTTGGGTTGAGCAAGGGAAGCCTTTGGGCCTTTTGGTTCAGATGATGATATAGTTAGCAGTCCCAGGCATAGTGCAGCCAAAGGACGCCAGCTTGGGCTTTTTCAGCCCGAGGCAAACCATGTTCCTGGTTGGAGCTGAAAGCTTGGAGCGAAGGTTTGAAGCCGGAATTGAAGGTTAAGGCTTGAGGTTGCATTCAAGATAATCAAGTATTGTATAATTGTAATGTCATAAGTGTGAAACCTTTTCAATATTAGTATTTTTGTCTATCAAACAGATGTTTTGGGGTGTTTACATCAACATGTTTTTTTGGGCCAGTACAGTGTGTTTTTGTTAAGTTTCTTGCAACAGTGCACTACTGTCCCGAAAAACCAATCATTTTGTGCGGTCCAACAACAACAACCTATCTTTTAGAAGGCCTGTAGTCGGTTAGCTCCTCCAAGACTAAGAATGATGGACAAACATGTTTCTTGGTGGCAGTACAGCATGTTGTCCAATTTTCTTGCAATAGTCGGAGGCGCTGCGGATGCCGATGATGCTGGTCAAGGTTGTGAACGAATGCTTTAGTTAAACCTGAAAACCTTGGAGAGTCTTGTCCCTGGAAGGCCCAACCCTCACTTGTGACCCAACAAAGGCCCTCATCTGTGACTCACAGGCTCTTCCTCATCGGTGACCCACAAACCCCTCGCCTGTGACCCACCAGCTTGCGTTTGGGGGGAAAGGGTTTAGGGTTTGGGGTTTGGACTCGGGGATCCCATTAACCTGAGACCATTCCTTTACGGCTTAGGGTTTAGGGTTCAGAGGTTAGGGTTCAGGGTTTAGTGTTTACGGTTTTGCGGTGCCAGCTTGGATTTAGGGCTTAAAGTTTAGAATTTCAGCTTAGGGTCAAGGGTTTAGGCTCAGGGTTTCGGGTTTAGGGTCCTTCGGCTTGTTTAGGTTTAGGGTTTCGGGTTTCCGGGTGCTTAGGCTTTAGGCTTAGCCTTTACGGGGCTTCGGCTTAGGGCTTAGGCTTTCTGGTTTTGGGTCTTTTAGGGTTTAGAGTTTAGGGTTTAAGGTATCGGCGCTTAGGGTTTCGGTTGAATTAGGGTTTATTCCTTGGGGGTTAGGGTTTGCTCGGGGCTTAGGGTTTAGGGGTTAGGGTTTTCTTGTTTACGGTTTAAGGAATAGGGTTTCGGGGTTGGGGTTTAGGGTTTGCTCAGGGCAAAGGGTTTTAGGGTTTAGGGCTTAGGGTTTTTTAGGCTTGGTCTCGGGTTTAGTAGGGCGCTTCGGCTTAAGGTTTAGGGGTTACGGGTTGGGGTTTAGGGCTTGCTCAGGGCTTAGGGTTTTAAGGTTTAGGCCTTCGGTTTTTTTAGGGTTTAGGTTTAGGGCTTAGGGCTTTGTCAGGGTTTAGAGTTCAGTGTTTCGCAGGTTTCAGGGTTTCGGGTTTAGGGTTGCGGCTTCGAATTTCGGCTTAGGGTTTAATAGGCTTTTCCTCAAGGCTTAGGGTTTGGGGCTTAGGGCTTTTACGGGGTTTAGGGTAGGATTTAGGGGACTTCGACTTAGGGTTCGGGTTTAGGGTTTAGGGTTTGCTCTTTCGAGCTTAGGGTTTAGGCTTTAGGGGTCAGGGTTTCGATGTTAGGGTTTAGGGTTTGCCCAAGGCTCAGGGTTTTACGGTTTAGGGTTTTTTATGGTGTAAGGGGGTTTTGGCTTGTGGTCTACGGTTTTGGGGCTTAGGGTTTAGGGCTTAAAGTCTTTTAGGGTTTAGGGTTCAGGGGGCTTCGGTTTTGGGTTTAGGGTTTAGGGGGCTTCGGCTTAGGGTTTAGGGTTTGCCGTAGAATGGCGCATAAGCGGAAGTATCTGGTGACAGTGTAATTTCGAGTGCGTCGTTACATGACGATTGGTCGTTGGAGCCTGATTATGGATGGCCCTTACTTTTAACTCTTCCCACCCCACGCCGTCTAAGGCGGCCAAACCACCCAAACCTATTCCTTGTAGGGTTTGGCACCTAAACTCATTTCAAGGAAATCAAATCTTCAAGCACAGGGTCAGGCGGCAGGGCATGGCAGGGCAGGGCAGGGCAGGGGCAGGGCAGGGGCAGGGCAGTGCGGAGGTGGGCGGCCTAGGCCTTGAGTTTTTAGGGTTTTTTCTTTTTTTTTAAAGTGTGTTGAACTTTGACTCCGCATGTGCAGACTCGCCGTTCGCCCTGTTGGGCGCACACTACAAACTAGCCTCTCATTACTCACCGAAGTCCTCCAACGGCTCACGACGATTCACTTCTTCACCCTCAGAGCCACGACTCACATCACGAGCACTCCCAGCAATCATAGGCGTCACCATTGAGGGTGGAACAGCCGCTTCAGGGGGTACAGCTTCAGCATCATGTACCTCTGCCACAGAAAGTACAGCTTCTCCAGAAGGACGAACTTCAGCAGCAGGTAGAGGATCACCACGATCTGCAGACGCCGATCTGCTTCAGAGGGCCAGTTTCCAACCGGCGCACTTCGCCCCATCTCCAAGTAGAGTCGGGCAACATGCTCCCTCCAACCTCTTCTCCGAAGACCAGCACGAGCATCCGGCGGCATATCAGGCAGAGCTTGCTCCAGAGCTTGAAGATTTGGCGGCAGACCAGGCTGAAGAAGGACACTGGGATCCGGGACCCAATGTTGCGGACGGTTCTGCGACGGCCTCGAACCAAAGCCCGCTTCTCGCGAAATTGTCCACCAAATATGTTGCTCTTGAGTCACCGCATTGGGCGCGATGGCGTTGGGGTGATGCCGAAACCAAAACATGCATTGCTCCAGTGCTTCACGAAGTAGGCGTTGAAGGTGTGCAAGGCGGCGCTGTCTGGCGAGCAATAGCCGAACAACCTCCAGCACATCAGCGTCATTGCTCTGGCACAGCTCATTGTTCACAGCATCCCGAACCAACTCAGAAGGCCACGTAGGCAACGAAGAAGACGATGAGGTCGATGTAGTCGTAGTCGTCCTCACATGCCCATAACACTGAACCAGTTGAGTTTCGTCTCCATCATCAACGTTGGCTCCCGTAGTTGCAGCCGTAGTCGAACTCAGCATGGACGTGGTGGCCGTAGTTTCGCCCGGTTCCAACCAAATGCCCCCAATAGCCGTGAGGTGCGGTGGGATATTGACTGGGACAGGGCGAGGAGGTCCAAAGGGCCCATCGCCTGTTTGGACAGGCACCACTACCATGTTGCCATTCTCATCCAGTGCATACTCCGAGTTCATGGAGACGACCCCTTCACGGTCAGTGTCACTCCCTCCTTGTTCCTGCGACGCCTCCTGAGAAGAAGCCGCTGGTTGGCCCCGTGCTATTCGGCGAGGAGTCCTTGAGGCAGATCGTCCCGACGAAGAGTCTCTGCGGCGTCGCATATCAGGAATGACCGTCACTGGGTGGTCGTCCGACGAAGCAGCTCCTCCCGAACGATCAAAGAACCCCATGCTGGCCGCCGAAGAGATTCCACCCGCAATTTCATGAGGTCGAAGATTCTCTTCAATATCATCTCTCCCCATCGGCATATTGATGAAGTGCTGCACGACTTCCAGAACCACCTGAGTAAAGTGTCGCCCCCATTGGAACCAGCGTCTGCACTCCACGTCTGTGTAGGGCACCCGTGTCACCGGCCAATGTCCACGTACCATAAGACGGCGTTCAAGAATCCCCGACAGGCGATCCAGGATCTCACATAGTTCCGTGTTTCTTCGCCGAGCGCACCGAAGGCTCCATCTAGATTCCGGTCCTCTGTCCTCCTCCTGCCAGTGCTGGAGTCTTTCAAAGAGGGCCTCAAGTCTTTGGAGTTGAAGTTCAGGCATCCCCTGTTCTTCAAGCAAAGCACGTTCAGCACCAGTCATCTGCATAAAGCTGGCCTCGTCATCAACCTTGTCCTCCATCTGCTCAGTGGCCATGGAGGACGTTGATGTCGTGCTCGTCAAGCCTTGTTGGGCCGCCTCCCTGGCTGCTTTCTCCTGGCGGTACTTCTCTAGCCATGCAGGGCGCCATTGCCCTCGTAACCATTGTTGACACCGGGCTTCCCTTCGAGCTCTGCGTGCAGGACCTTGACCTCCTTGATGTAGGCGTTGTTCGGCCTCAGTGCGTGTTCTGTCTTGCCATTCTCCATGTTTGTAGAATCCCACCATCTGAGTGGGCGCAGTGGCACCCCCTGCTTGGTCCGCTTCATCTGCTCTCGACGTGGGAGGCAATGATGGGCATGTCCAGGCAGAAGACACCAATCAGGGCAAAACGGAGAGGGGTAAGCCGAAGCGGGGGAAGGGACGACCCCCGCACGAACTTCGTCGAACCCCGGCGCCCTTCGCCGAACCCCCCCCCAAACCCCCCCCAGCATTAATAAATATTAATATTATTATTATTAGTATTATTATATTATTATTATTGTTATTATTACTATTATTATTATTATTATTATTACTATTATTATTATTATATTATTATTATTATTATTACTATTACTATTATTATTATTATTATTATTATTATTACTATTATTATTTTTATTATTATTACTATTATTATTATTACTATTATTATTATTATTACTATTATTATTATTACTATTATTATTATTACTATTATTATTATTATTAGTAGTAGTATTAGTATTATTGGTATTATTGTTGTATTATCAGTAATATTGGTATTCTTAGTAGTATTATTGTTTTTAGTATCTTAGTATTATTGGTATTATTAGTATTATTGGTAATATTAGTGTTCTAAGGTATTATTAGTATTATTTTTTAATATCAGTATTACTAGCATTATTAAGGTATTCTTAACTTAATATTATTAGTATTACTTCTATTAATAATATTATTTATTATTAACCTTAGCATCATTATTATGATTATGATTATGTCATACTGATAGGATTGTTACTGGTAGTAGTCTTTATTTATTAGTCAATAGGCATATATATATATATATATACATGTGTATATATATACATGTGTATATGTATATATATAACATATGGATGATGTTATGGTTTATATGGTATAGCATTTTGCTAAAATTAACATTTGTCTATCTTAATTATAGCATAATATTACAATCTTATATCAGATCATACTGTCTGAAATCCTATAATATTTTACTGTGCCTCACCATTTATTACTA